CCTGACATTAATTGCTTGCTATAGGCTATGTATGCGTCACGAGTGTATGTTCACATCGAACAACATAGTAAAATAAGAAGTATAATACAGCAATTTAACCATAAAAAGTGAACAGAATTACTTATATTTTGTGAAAAAGTGGAAATATTTTTTATATTTTTTACTATTTACGGTGACGTAATCACTTTAACTCCACTCTCTCATTAACGTGAGCGTGAGCATGTCTTGTTTGAAGCCGGGAGTACGTGCACTTTGTAACTAGAGCATTGTATTTATGCACAAAGTGTCTGCGGGCTTGTTGTCCTGCAGGGTAGCATGTAGTAAAACGTGTATAGCTCAGTTGTTCTCTGTGCTTTTCAGTTGATGCTAAGAAGATGTTGCATGGTATAGTATTTTTATTTGTCGTGGTGATATACTAACTGTTGCTCTACTGTTTGTTATAACCTACGATGTATGTTCTGGCACAAGAATGCATCGAGTTGGCTTATCATTGTAAGTTTGCTCTCCTGCTATCACCGTAATTGTCAGTCACCCAGTGCATATAATTTTCCAGACCAAACACAGATTTTTAACATTCTGACTAATGTTTACTGCGGTGATTGTCAATTGGAATGGTTCCACTCACCTGCACAACTGGTGCAAAAGATAATCGTATATAACATTGATCGATGCATATTATTAATGTATATCATGTAATGGAAAGATGTTCTGTCTCCTGCTATTGTCACTCAACACTTTTCTATACCATTCTCATATGTTAGCTGGCATTACTAAAACTCTTGTGTTGTTAATGCATGTTCGTGAAGTCAAGTTGTTTTGAGTGTTTTTGCTTCGAACGTGATTCACGCGAGGATAACGCAAACATGTTTTTTACTGATTAGTGACGTAGTTGCTAAATACAGACATTCTAGGTCGATATAACATTGAAAACAGCAGTTCAGACGAAATTTGCACATTTAAAATCGAAGGCATTGTTGAAGGAAAGGCACTACTGTCAGCAGTGCTACTGAAGATAGTTGATTTTGTTTCGAGAAGTTTTCAGAAATCAAAATATTTTAATTAAATGTGGATTCTATTTTATATCAGTTTAGTCAAATTTCATTGTTTGTTCCTTGCAGGTCCAGCCTACCTACGTATACGTCAGCACGGCCAAGCCTTGCTGTGGTTCATCGTGGTCAGTCGTCCATGGACGGAGGAGGATGGCAAGATGGATGCTTCTAAATCAGATCTCCTGTCCGAAGTAGTGAGCCATTAAGGCTGTAGCCTGGTGAACTGGTAAACCTGTGCGCTGGTAAACTGGGTGTTTGCCAGTAGCATGCAGTGGTTGTTTTCTTCTCAATGGCTGGCAATCCTTGATTTGAGCATACCTCTATTGAAGAGAAGTCACACAACATATATGTATATATAACTGAACCTGATGGTAGTGGTTCAAATGGTGGGTAGGAGCAAAATGCAGCTATCAGTGTTTTGGGGAATGGCCACTGTAGGTAGACACCAGCAGGGGGCAGCACTTTATACTAGCTTCTATTGAATCTATTGTTTTTATGCATTGCAGCGAGGGTATGAAGAGAGAGTTCTTTCCTTACTTTCTAAACGTTATCAGTGGTCAGTGAACCTTATATCGCGAAAAATGTCAGATGAGATAATGCCCTATTAGAAAATATATACGTGAAACCCGATTCGATAGACAAGCATGATTCCATGTGTGAACTTCACTGGCCATTGAGTTTTCGCAATACTAATAACGCATTCTCTCGCTGTTCTCCTGTGAGACATTGCGTGTGCTAATGACGAGTAGAGAATAAGCTACAAAGTGTTTGCACAATCACATTATCTTGTGGTTATTGCCTTCTTTTGATACCGTTCTATGTGCCACATACTGCAGGGGTAGAAATTAACTTTTTTTTCTCAACGGACTTCCTACCCTGTAAAAGAGGGAGTCCGCATCAAAATGAGGGAGTGTGCAGTTTAAAGTTCAAAATTAAAGATATTAACAATAACGCATGTGCTTATTTTGAAGATTCATGCGGTTGCACGTCTGCCAAATTTTCTTTGGACATTAGCTGAAAAAATACAGTAATTCCACGAGGCCGTGCTTCGGAACGAACTAGTTAGTATAGCAGAATTTTCAGGGAGTCGCACGGACTCCTGCATATGTCAAATCAGGGAGTCCGCTCTGGAATGAACTAGTTAGTATAGCAGAATTTTCAGGGAGTCGCACGGACTCCTGCATATGTCAAATCAGGGAGTCCGACAGTAAATCAGGAGGTATTTGACTCCGGACTCCCGTTAATTTCGCACCCTGTACTGTGTTTGTCGTCTCTCCCTTCCACCATCTCTCTCTTTTCCTCTCACTTTCATTCTCACTTCGTTCCCTTTCTCCTTGCCCACTTATTGCCGTCCTAGCTTAATGTTATCAGATTATCGTGCCTTTTTATTCGGACATACAGTGTATATCTGAACTATAGATTGTATTCTATTTAACTACCTGTCCATTAATGCATTATTGACACTGGTAGCTATGTTATAGTGCGTGATCCACGCAATTACTCAAAGTTATTGCACTTTTGAGGATGCATTTTAGGCTTTTAGGATTTTCTTTCTGCAATCTGCAGGAATTTGACTGATTTTCATAAGAAAAATAAAAACGACAGTAATTATGCCTAATTAGCTCAAATAGGTTAATTAGTGCAGAAAAATGGTAAGGGTAGCAGCTATGGTAAGGGAAAAGGTATTTTAGTTTTTCAGTGTTGCCGTGAATGGTACGAATCGGTATTGTCCAAATATAAGTGATTGCTTTCATCTATCATTTTACTATTCTGTGTGCCTACCTGATTGTCAAAGCACACGCTCTCATGCTTGCACGGTTGGTTGGCCTGAAATTCAAGCTGTCGATGAAAGATTGAGCAGTTTTCATTGTCAACCGGGTACGTGTAACACGGTAGTTTGTAGAGGCGAATCTTGTTATTCCTGACCAGTTTTTGTAGCAGTAATCACGCAGTATGATGTGCCACTATAGGAACGCTCAATGTGTGACGAGATAGGCTCACACCGTCCACGTCGATCGGAGGCGGAAGAAGTGATATGTTTTGTCGTCATAATTATTACTATGCATTATATTATTCTCGCAATGGCTATTATCACTGTAAGTACGAGTTAGTATGTGCTATGAATGAAATAGGTTAATATCTTGGAATCGGGTACAGCGTACAAGGGTCGTACCAGAGGGGCGGTGGGGGCTACAGCTCTCTCCCAGTCAAGGAACCTTAACTAGTGTTGAAAAAATCAGTAACTAACTTGGTGGATTAACACCCACAAAAAATGCATTCGTTCTTCATAAACACCCTTTTATCTTAGTGAAAATAATCAGCAAGAAAAAGGGCCGATTTATCTGTAGATGGAATATGTTGCTATATGTATCAATATTTATTGTTATGGCAATTTTTTCTTGCTAACAACGCCAAAGATACGATTTTAAACCTTCAAATTTGGGAAGAACAATTTTGATTACTCTAGTTCTAGTCTTTGGCCACCTACTCACATTGTGAATTTATCCTCTTCACTGGCCTCTTCATCAGGGACCTTGGTCTGCGTGTTTGGCAATCTCTGGTGCCACCCCTGACAGCATAATTGGTGACTACTCCAGAAGTGGGAGAGCTGTGATTGTTAACGAGTGTTCTATAAGGGTCGCTATCAGTTGAGTGCTCCGTGAGAGTGTGCTGTGAGTTAGTGACTGCTCCGTGAGAGTGCGCTGTGAGTTAGTGACTGCTCCGTGAGAGAGAACGGCTCGAAATACTTACGAAGTATTACACTGCAACGCAACTTTATTCTGCTTTCTACTCGATATAATAATATATAATATATGTAATTGGGAGATGGTGTACAACCGAACGGCGCGCGCTTAGGGCCTCCGCACACGGTGTGCATTCGGCGCGCGCAAACGATGCTGAGCCAGAAAAATCAAACACGATAGATATTTGCCACCCCAACGGTGCACACCAGCTGAATGCGCACCGTGTGCCTTTACAGAGAGCGAGCTCATGCTTGAGCTCAACTATAGCAATTACGTATTGTTACACGGGCGGGTGTGTCGCGATGCGCAGCTATTGTCGTGGTGGGTGCGTGGCGTACAGCAATGCAGCTGTCCTTGCCACTGCACATACATACCGACTTGTCCCTTATATGAGGGCGGTGGCACGCCGAGAGTCCGTTGAATGCATTGTGGTTAACGTTGCAAAGCAAATTTATAGCGTTCAATAATGTAGTGTAAGGACATGGCGTGTCTGCCGTAAGAATGCCCTCCTGCCACGCTGCAGGGCTCATGGCGTGTTCTCATTATCGAGTGTCTGTGTTTCTTTATGTCTGGGACCTGCTGTCAGAAACATCATAATAAATTGATAATTCTAATCATAATAGTTGTGACATTAAATAAGTATAAAATGTCTGGAATTTTTTTTTTAAAGGCATTTTAGACTTGTGATCAACCCAAGTCCTTGCTGGTGCTGCTGAAGTGTCCCTCCCTCACGCACGCACACGCGGTGGGCTTTTATGACGTCCTCGTTTTCGTGGCGTGTGACAGATCGCTGATAATAAACAGGCGTCTCGTGCGAGCGTTAGTAAATGACCTGTGTAAACTAATTGCACAACCGTTGTGGGTACAGGTTTACGAAGGGCAGGCCCACGCAACCCTCGTTATTACGTCGGCCGCAAAAACCCGATTTGAACAGCGAATTTATAGCCTCGTGGGCGTTGGTCGGTAAGACAGTTGTTGTTGTTTTGAGCCTCGTGGGCGTTGGTCGGTAAGACAGTTGTTGTTGTTTTGAGCCT